TTTAAAAATAATACGTAAATTTTAACATATATATTTTAATTAAATAAATTAATACATAATATATAATAAGGGTTAAATATAAAATTTTACAAAATAAAGGATATAAATAAAAATGAAAATGTAAGTTGGAGGGTAAAAATTGTAAATTTAGAAAATCAGATTTTTTTAAATGAGTGGGTCCCACACAAAACTAACCTATTTCTACCAATAAAATCAAAACTAACCTATTTCTACAAACCTTTTTCAAAACCAACCCATTTTTGCAAAAAACTCGTTATGTAAATACCAATAGTTAAATGGTGTTCCCGTGTTTCTATTCATAATTATCATTGTACTTTTTTGTTTGGGATTACTGTTTCTATTGTTGGTTTCAAACAAATATCGCCATTCGTGGAAAACGCTAAAATCGTTTGTCTTGTGTCCTATACAACTGTGCTAAATCACGATCGTGCCAACTCCCTAAACAAACGTTTTCCCATCTAGCATGATCGTGCCAGCCAATTTATTTGTTTTCGCATGGCAGGGAAACTTCTCTAGAAGCACTATTCCCTTCTTATACAATTGTGGCAACTCTCCATATGCAGTTTGCCCCTCTTGCAAGACCATGCAATCACTCAGCATCACACATCTTCATCACCTACTATTATTTACACTATGAAACAATAGAAATTGAAACCCTACATGCATATCCATCATTCAACTCTATCATTCTCATTCAGCTCTCTTCGATCCAAAACATCTTACATCTTGAATAATCTTAACACCTCAATTCATCAGTGTCTCATTGTTGTTGTTCTATATATATAGGATAAACTATATGTTCTTGGGATTTATCATTGGAAATGACTTCACTTAAAAGATAGATGATGTCCCAGCTTGAATCGAGATCTAGACTTATTATTATTCGCACCAATAGCTAAGCATCGAAAGATTGATTGAAAAGGTGCAATCTTGCCACCTCCCTAGCCGTCTATCTACTCGTGTTCGTACCTCGATCGGATGCCAAAACTATGGTTAACAAAAGTCATCCTTATGAAAATTCGTAATAATTAAGTTGATGTTGTAGAGCTACGAAATGGGCTTCTATTAACATGTTGCCACCTTCATCATGTGCGATGTAGCCTTGGTCTACAATGGCCATCTTGTGGAAAGGAAACGACTTTTGTCTTGCATCATTGGGACATTTCCTTATTATAACAAAAGTTCAAGATAAAGTGATTGATTAATGGAATGGGGTTTAATCAAGAAAAAGAGACTTCAATCAACAATAATTCGATACGAACATATCAAAGATTGGATTGCCCCAACCAACACACTCTATAATATTATACGTGTACAGTAACGAACAAGTGACTTTACTTTATAACTTTTAATAATTTATCATAATTAATTAAAAACATATAATAATGTATTTTTCTAACTTTTATAATATGTAAAAGAAGTTGATTCATTTATTTAGTTCAGTTTAAAAGCTATATAAATTTAATAATTCTAAATTTGAATATATTGTCGGGCCATCAACAAATTGGTATTCATCATAGTAAGAAAGTGAATTGAAAAATGTTTGTAGTTGAAAGTTATGGTCGCGTCGAAGGGAAACTTGTAGGCCAAAGATTACTAATAAATTAATCCATACTTCATTAGTTGCATGATTTTTAATGATTAAAAATGTTTTACATCACATCCAATAATATTCTAATAATCAAAGCGTTTTTGGGTAGTGGTATGTTAGTCGTTAGTCTCTTAAGAGGTTAAGGATTCAAAGTTCATCAAAGGTGAAGAGGGTGTTTGAGTTTATTTGTTGTATTTACCGTATATAAATATTATATACTTTAAAAAGAAATAATATTCTCATATATAGAAAAGTATTAGAAAAAGAAAAGCTAAAAATTTATTATATAAAATACAATGAGTTGTTCAATCATCGTTTTATAGATGACATGAACTTATTATCAATACGTACGATACTCATCGACCAAACTTCACCTTCTCATTCGATCAAGCCTTCTTCATTTGAAGTTGAAGTTTCTACAAGGTTTATTCATTGTAAGTTGTACATCACTGTGATTATAACAAAATTTAGTTTATAGGACGCCACCAATTTCAAAGTGTCCTATTAAATTGTTTCATAGGATACAATTTATAAGACCAAAAATTAAAAAGTACTATCTAAAAGCGTTGTAATAAATTTATAGGACACTTTTAAGTGTTTTAACAAGTTCTATAGTACACTCTTACTACAAAGCATCTTATTAGCTACTTCAAAAGTGTCCTATAAACCCATATTTTTATAAAACACTTGTTTTTATAAGATATTTTTTCAAATAGTGTTATATAAAATTACTAATTAAATGTTTTGTATTAAAAATGACCGATAGAATTTATTAAGACGTTCAAAAGCATCCTATAAACTTATTACAACATCTTTAGATATAACTTTTTATTTTTTTGGTCTTATAAAACAGTCTAATAGAACGTTAAAATATTAATTTTTCATTGGGTCAAAAATGAAAAATAAGAAAGTGCAAGGGGAATGGTTGAAAAATACTTCAAATGGGGTGAAATGTAAATATCCAAAGTTCAAATAGGTTTTGAAAGTGATTTTAATCGTAAGTTATCTAATGGATGAATCAAAACCTTTACGAGATTTTGAAAAAACCATGAAGAAATGAGCAAGAAATCAATAGTCAAACCGGTTATGTTTCTTCGAACGAAAATTGAGATTTGAGATACAATCAAGGATGGACCTAGTGTAATGGTTATGGTGGCACGTGCTACCGTACCGTATTATTCCTCTGTCGAAGTGTAAAAAATATAGCTAGGTTCGTGAAAGGTGCAACCGTATTAATTTGTTGTGTCACCATATGTATTTTGAAACTATAATGAGAACAAGTTTTATTTGATAGAGTTGGTTTGCAAAGCTTTTATTCCATCCCATAACCAAATTCGAATCATGTTAGTATCATTTTATTAGTCAAATGGTGTCACCGTTTGAAGAAAAAAAAATTGTATATTTGTTTCTTATGGTCAAACGGTGCTACTTTTTGAAAAAAATTCCTTATATTTTTTTCTTATAGTCAAATGGTATCATCATTTGAAAAAACTTCTGGGTCCATCCCTGCGTAGAGTTCTTAACCAATTTTGATGTTCTTTATATGGTTGTATTTATTTTTTAATGTTCGTTTGAACGATATCGGTGTTGAGGGCCAACAATGAGTACGTGGAGGAATTCAAGAAAAAACGCCAATGGGGGATTGTTTAAAACACAAAATTTGAATTAGATTCTTGGTTTTAAGAGTTGTGAATCGAGTTATATACAAAAGAAAAGGGGGGGGGGGGGGAATGGGTTAATTTGGTCAGGTAAATTTCAGTCTCGAAAATGTTTAAAGTCGAGATTTAGACATTTCAGAACTTGTACCCAGTTCCTATCCGGCGACTGGGGAGCCAATGTCTACCATCGTCGACCTCCTTTCCAATGTCCTTCATTGCACCTTGAAGGGGTCTCACCCTAAGGTTCGATCCAAATGGTCGAACCTACATCAAAATATGTATTAATGGGGTCTGCATTCGCGTGGCCCCTATCCAAACATCAAGTCTTGCTTCTTTTTTTCAAAACCTTGTGAGTCATAATCCTCATCATTTAAGTTACATAATCTCAAACCGAAACATGAACTTGATAACTTGAAATAATATTGCAACACATAAAGAAGTTTCTAGTTTTCGCTCTTAAATAATCTTGAGCAGGATTCTAATATCTTTAGCGCTATGCTCATGAAGCGCAGAATCAGGTTTCCAAGGTTCATGTAGAAAGAAAATATTGGGCTTAGGAACGGAACTACAAGCATACTGTAAATGTTCAATAATACTTGCACTATCACGCGTTGTTTCTGAAAGAACCCTGAACAAAAACAACACGCTTTAGCATTCAATTAAAAAAATAGTTGTAAGCAATGATTGATGAGATTGATTTGTTACATACATTCAGTAGCCTCTGGGAAAGCATCAAATAACGACGTCACAATCTTCAGTAGAATCTGTACTTGCATGCAAATTGCAATATAAATAAATATTTTGAGACACGTCAGAACCAACTGTTTATGAATATGGTTGCGAGTAATGAGTACATACAAGGAACAAATCTCCTGGTTTGATTGGCGACTCAACGAAAACTTGTGCTTTCCTGCAAGTAAATTATTTCTCTATGAAGGAAAAAGTTTTGAAAAAAACCTAACGAACTTCATATTTCAAGTGATTACTTGGACAATTTCTTTAACATTCTTTGTACATTTTGAAATCTATTAAATAAGTTCTTATAACCTATAAAACAGGTTAATGTGGTAAAGTAATGGAAAAAAAAATCAATGAACATTCATATTTTGAACGAAGAAGTCTCTAAAAAGGTGGTTTCAGATACAACCCACTCCTTTGCTACGTACAAACTCTACAAACAATGGCATATTTGTCATTTTAATTATCTTAAATAAATATCTAATTCGGTTGTCATATTTAACAGATTTAACAATATTCCTTAAAAACCTCATTCATAAAAGGCCAACATATATTGCACCAACTTTGAATTAAGATGTTTCATATATGAAACATTTGGTCGCACCACCTCTAAATAAAAATGTACTTTCATGTATGAAATATTTGGTTACATAACCTCTGAATAAACATGTTTCATATATGAAACTTTTGGTCATTGATCGAGAGGTGTTTTTTCATAAATGAAACAATTGGTTACACTTATAGTTCGATCGATTATAGGAAGAAAAGGAGAGAGAGATGTAATTATGTAATTAATTAATGACTAAATTAGTTCAAATTCATAATATTTAAAACCAATTCCAATATTACCCTTTCCTTGAATATTTCCCATTTAAAATTCAAATTTCTCCATTTTCATACTTTCCATAATAACGGTTGATCAATAATAAACGGTTCTATCTTATAAAGTGGATTATATAATACCTGATTGTCAATCTTTCTCCTTCTCTTTTTAGTCTGTAGAAACTGCAGCCTCTCGTGAAGGGCACTTGCTTCTTCTTCCACTCTGTCGTGCACGGATGAAATACAATAAAATCGGCTTTATAGGAAAGGATAGCGTCATCTGTGAAGATGTTACAATAAATTGATAGGAGGACACTTTTGTTTCTTCTAACAAACTTTTTAGAATATTTTTCAAATAAAGCATTTTATTAGCCTTTTTACATGACGTTATCTAAAAGAAAATGTATTTTATGTGTTTATGACAATTCTTAAAAATGTCCATTAAAAAATTAAATACGACATTTTAGCTATAAAAAAAGTCTTGTGCATCCTATCAACTTATTATAACATCTTTATGGAAGATGCATAATTATTTGGTCTAATAAAACAATATGTTAAGACATGTATATATTTGATGTCCTGCAAAACCGATTATTAGACTCGAGTTGCTGAATATACCCAGGTGCCAATTGACCCCGGCTATAAGATCATCGCCTTCATAGATATGACCAACATGAAACTCGATGTTTTCGCCCATCCCTGTGATTAGTTGATCAAGAAAACGTAGAACCTCCTGCGATAGTTTTGATATGGATCGTTTTAATCTATCTGATTCTCTTTTAAGAGGTTATAAGAATATGGAAAAATGTATGACCTTTTTTCCGTTGAATGGTTTGGGAAACGAGTAGTCTTCAAAGAAACAATCGTTCGAGATATAATCTTCTAGTAGCTTTATGTTCTTCTCGTTCATGCATTCATAGAACTGTTTTATCGTATCCGATGGCGTAGGATCTGGTGCACGAACCGAATCACCGATCATCGATGACATGGCTTTTGTGAGGTTGCAGTTTCTGTAACATACACGTTCATCCCTCATGTTCATATGAAGCTGCTGCATTCCGTGTCTATCGGTTTCTTGTTTGTGCGTCGAAAGGAGACGACTGAGACCCGAAAATTGCATTTTGGTAGCCATTTTGAGCAGAATTCAAAAATCGATGTTGCTTGTAATTGATATTGAGATGGGTACCAAATTTCGATGAATAAAACCAAAAGAAAAGAACCAGATTTAACTTGTACCTGTCGATTACATTTAGAGCTTTGATTCCTTTTGTTTGTGTTTCTTGTGTTATAATCGAAGAACCTATACTTTGGTTCTCAAACACATCTTACAGAATCTTAAAAAGATAACATTTTAGGATCTTCTTTTAGTTTATCCTTTTTATAAATATTTATGTATTTCGACAAAAAGTTGATAACCAGTAACTCCAACTAGCCTCACACGGAACACCAATGTGAGGGCCATTTTTTTGGTTCACTCAACTGTTGAGGCTAGCAGGGGACCTCGGTAGGGGCGGACCCACATGTAATGATTCAGCGGCACAGGCCACTGCTTCATGGTTCCGTCAAAAAAAGGAAAAAAAAATTATGTTTCTAAAGAGTGCCATCATATACTTGTAAAACTGAAATGCTAGCACAAGTGCACAAGAATTTAATGGTTGGGATGATAAACGCTTAGCCTTTGTACAAAAAAGCTTGGGTTCAAGTTTTGTTGTTGTCAAATTTGTTGTTTTTAACTTAAATTTTGGTGTTTGTTTTATATACCTCTTTGTGTTTTTTAATTAATATGTAGACAAGACTTGAATATGGATCCCTTCTATGTAAAGACAAAAAAACCACCCAACAGATCTATATTAATATTGTGGAAAAAAGTTAGATGTTTTTTTATCGTTAAATTGTGTCACGACTTGAAAAATTCCTAAAGTCCGTCTCTAGACTTGGGATCAAACCTAGTACTATCTTGTATTTGGACAGTCACTCCACCCTTTTGCCAACTATCTAAATTTATTAGCATCTAGGTAAGGCATTTCATCGAACACCTTCAATAATTTTATTAAGGTAAGAGACCCAAAAAACACACTTGCAAGATAAAACCATGAATGTAGTATTTAGGACTCAGAGGGTCATACAAAACATTAAAAACTAAACATAAAGAGAGCATATGATCATCATTTTTAACCTTTTTTTTCTAAACAAGTAATCAAATAAACCATTTGAAATTTTAAACCAACACCACATGTAGAGAAGAAGGTAACATACCCACAAGATGCAAAATTCTGTAACTATTCAACACTCGACACCTCTTGCCATTCACCATCAACAGCTTCTTTCCACAATGTGACAGTATTGTCCCCAGAGGCAACAGCCAACAGGTTTCCAGTAAGCGACCAGGAGACTCTCCAAACAGGGGCCTTGAAGTCATTTAACACCTTACCATTCCATTGCTCACCTTCTTTAGCCACAGTCCATATTACAACCGTACCATCTTGTGAAGCACTTGCGATTGTCGATTTTGGAAGCCCCAAATTGGGTGCCCATGCCACATCTCGCACCAAATCACTGTGCATCTGAAGGGCAGGAAAGCAGTCCATCTTCCATGCTCCATTAGAAAACTTCCATATTTTCACAGTGTTATCATGACCGCCAGAAGCCAGCTTCTGAACTGGCTCAAACACACCAGACCCAATTAAGGCACCGGGTGCCATTGAAGGGGCCCACGAAATAGAGGTTACACCAACAGGATGAGCTTGCTCTATCCTTGTGGTGTCCCACCCACCATCTGACCTGGCAGTGTGGACCGAGATGCTCCCGTCGGAAGACCCACAAGCCAAGCAAAGGCCAAGTTCGTGAGGTGCCCACGCAATTGAGTTTACAGATGACTTGTGCTCACTGAAGGTATGAGCTTGGGTCCATTCATTTAAGTTACCTTCTTTCCAAATAATCACGGTGCCATCATAGGAACATGATGCAAGAAGTGAGCCAAACTTGGGGTGAGCCCAACCAACCTGCCAAACAGGACCATTATGGCCGCTCAAAGTAGCAAGGGGATGCGACGCAGAACTGCTGCTTACACCAATTATCTTAACAGTAGCATCAGAGGAGGCAGATGCCACCCGCTTTCCATAATAATCCATACTGACATCATGGACGATGTCGGTGTGACCTGTTTCAATCTTTTGCCCAGGCATGATTTGCTCTGTCTATATTTGCTTGATCCTACACTTTCAAAAGATCCAAATTTAAAAAGAAATTAAACAATTCAAATAACGACTACATTTGATGTTTAAATAAAAAAAGATAGGTTCTATCTTAAAAAGAAATTGAATGTTTCCCATATCATTGCATGTTTGTAACTATAGTAACTGCATCATGTTTTCCATAGTTTACAGGGCAGACAATTAGTTACAATCAAACCAGTGTTCATCTCAAAAGAAGCATTCTACATAATATACTTAAAGCAAACCAAACAGACCCAGTAAATCCCATGTAAAGATAGGGCCTAGTGAGAGTAAGATGTACGCAGATCTTACCGCTTGCCCAAGGAGTAGAGAGGTTGTTTCTATGAAGGCCCTCAACTTGCAGAACAAATAGATAAAACAAGCGACCCCACAATTCAAAAAACGTTACATTTTGATCATCATGCTTAATTTAGTTTTTGCTCTTAATCACTAATCAACATTTTGAATCTTCAATAATTTCTTTGGAAGTGGCAGTTGTGCATTAGGTATGCATGCTATGTACTCCCACAACTTGGAAAACCATTACATTTTGATTTTTTATGTTAAACTTGATAATTTACGAATGAAATATGACATGGTTTTGATACATTCTTTTCATTTATATTGTTTTCTTAAATATGAAAATTTTCAAACCCTTTGCCCCCGGTTAATCACTAGTGGCCAGAGGCAGAGGGCAGAGGGTCCTTTCATTGTTTCCCATTCCTTCTCCTTTCTCTTCAGAGCTTTGGAGTTTGTTCACTTTCTCTTTCAAAAGTGGTTCTCATTGTTGCTCTCCTTCTCCCTCTAATCCCCTCCATCATCTGCAGATCCAGACGTCAGATCCCACTTTGTGGTCAGTGGCTGTCATATCCCTTTCCATTCGTTTTTATTTTCTTCATCCTTGTATACACACCACTGCAATAGATCAAGTTCATCAACATCGGTTTCTCGGTTTCGACGCCTCCATCAATGAGTCTATTTCACCTTCTCCAACAAGTCCCAGCATTTCTCCCACCACTTTTCAAAGTCTTCTCAGATCGTAAGTCCCTGCCTCATCCACTCAGGAGTTGGTGGTGTGATCAGAAATTTGATAATGATGGTGTTTAGTTTGTCAGCTTTCTCCGTCATGAATGTACCAGTGACCTCAATTATCCACCAACCATTGCCTTCCACAAAGGAAAGTGGTTTTGTTGTCTCAATGTTCTGCAGGTTGGTGTCTCAAAACCTTTGTGGTGTTTTGCCCTACCATCTGTGGCCAAAGTGAGATGTTGTTAGAGCTGAAGAGATTGCAGGGTAGGCTCAAGCAGGGTTTTTCCTTTCTGTTTTAAGTCAAAGTTAGGTTTTGGATTTGGTTTCAAGTTGGGGCATTCAAGTAATTCAGCAAATCTTCGTCAAACTGCTCTCTACACCACGGCTGTCGTAATCAAGCTTCTCAATATCAGTTGAGTTTGGTCAGTTTCAGGCTGAATAGATTTAAAGGGATCTCCATGGTCCGCCCGTTTTCTTGTTTGGCAGTCTATTGTTTTTGCAGTAACATTTTCTCTAAGTTGGTTAGTTTTGGTAGCTTTTGGTCTTCAAGGAGAAGTGAAGTAATGTCTAAGCAAAACATGAAATGGATCCAAGTTCAATTGAAGTGTTCAAGTTTAAATCTCAGTGGTACAACTTTAAGGCTAATTTGGTAGATTTTCATCAGCTTCCTATGTCAAATGACAATTCATAAGGTTCCCCCTTTAGTTTTTTTGTGGTTCTGAAGGTTTCTTTGGATTTTGTGTGTCAAGCAAGGTGGATTCACGGTATTAATATTACATATAATGCGCTACTTCAATTTTGTAATTATGTATAGTATAGGGACTTGTTTGTGTTTGAGGTATTCTATTGCTAGGTATAAATACTACTTTAGTTCTTTATTTCTCCTTCATTGGTAACTTTTGGGAATTTATAATCAATACAAATCACAGCCTTCATTGACCTCCTAATCCTCTCATTCATAATAAAAACAATTTCTTCATCAACCATAACATGGTATCAGAGCTATTGTTAAACCTTCATTTATATCATTGTTTATTGTTACATACTATGTTTTTGAGTTGTGACCTAACCTTATCGATCGTTATCCTTCTTATCTTGTGTGGTTCACAGAACCCTCAAAATCTAATAAACCATATTGCATTCAAAAAACCCCCCACCATTGTGACTCTAAATCCAGCATGACCATATCAACCAGCTAACCTGGCAAGACCGTGCCATTCTGCAGTCAACCTCCTGTCAAGCCTTGCACATATATACCCGATCATATAGCCTTATCAGACTCGACCATGTCAGTTGTTCAAAAGCTCCCTTCAATCCCAAACCCATCACCCACCATATCAAGGTAGTCTTTCAACACATCACCAAGGTCACTCTCAAAATCGTTTAAACCCACTGTTCGTTCCTCGTCATGTCTGATTCAACTTCTGTTCATCACCACCCTGTTTCAGTTGTTTTAAACGGGCAGTCCGGCCCAACTATGTCCTGTGAGCCAGTACATGACCCTTCTTCCTGAGATCCCGCCGACTATATAGTTATGTTACTGGCTTAACCACTATACTAGTTAAGGCAACAGAAAATGCTTGGCTTTTGCCAAAAGATCTGATGAATGGATCTCAAGAATGCTCACGAAAACACGTGGCGATGCGTTTTCTCTTGGGATCTCAAGACAGTCCAAGGCGTAAGCCTCAAAACGGAAAATAAAAAAGAAATAAAATTTTTTATATACATATATATCTCATACTAATATTTAGAATCACGATATTATTAACGAAGTCTCAAAATATATGTAATTAATAGTTGAAGATTTTATTTTTATTTTTATTTTTTATTTTTTTATTAACAAGCAAATTAATGTGACATGTCAAGAGAAGAAGAAAAAGTCACAAACATATCAAAAACGAAAAGTCATGTAATACCAAAAACAAAAAGTCTTGCTATTTCGAAGCGGCGACACTCGATGTGGTGTTGAGTGATGTCCTCCCCTCCCTAATTCCTAAGGCATAGTTCCTTCTATAGAGCCTAAAGCTTCAACCATGGCATAGCAGTAAGCAGTAAGTTGGCCTAGTCTCTCGCCCAGCCTTCGCCTTCTTCAATGGCCAAGGCGCAAAGGAGAGGGACGACAAAGAAGCAAGGAGCAACAGATCACTGATTCAATAAGTAGATTTACTAGAGGCCACGTTTTCTCGTGAACTCCATGGTTGTACCATGTAGGAGCATATTTTATAACCCTAATGTCACAGCTCCGACAAGGTAGCCTCAGTAGTGTGAGGCATAGACCCAAGCAACACAAAAGAGACGCCGCCTCAATAACGTTTTCTCACCACCTCACCTCAAGGTGAGCCAAGTTCTTAAACCGTAGTTGGACCTACACATCAGTATCAATTTAGTTAGTCTTTCAGAGCAAATGACAACACCGGATCAATACATCAGCTTGTTTCTGTCAGAGATGCAAATAATCAAAGACCAACTTCTCTTAGCTGCTGCACAGATAGTCGATCCTCCTGTTCGACATGAGTTCACTAATTATTAAAATCAACTACATCTTATTACGATTCTCGTTGTTCTCACGGATCATTTTGAGACTGTTCGAGCATCAATATTTCACCTTACCCAGTTTCCAACACTTGACTTGAGCTCATAAGTGAAGAAACTCGGATAATATCTCGATCTCCACGAGCTGATATAGTCATGCATTTTCTGACATCTAAATTCAAAGGTAATCAACTTTCAAGTGGTTCTATCCTAGAGGTAACCAAAGCTTATTTGAGTGCAACTATCGCCATTTTAAGGGTTTGTGCCTTTAATGAAGACTTCTCTGGGGCCACATTGAAGACTGGTTTTGGACAACCAATACTTTCACCCATTTAGGTTGTTCACTAAGTCACTCTTACACTCCATTTTCTTCCTCTTTGATGTATTCTCAAAATAAATGAAGCTCCAAGAGACGAAGAATTTTAGCCAGCCCCTCATTTTATCTCTTTATCTCCAAATACTTACACACACCATAGTGTTAGTTTATCTCCTTCAAAACCCTTGCAAACTTCATCTTCTACTCTTCACTCGTGGTTTTCTCCCAATTTGGGTTTCCACATATTGATGTTGTCTTTGTAATTATATCTCTTTACTTTGTGTTAATGATTACTATCTTCATGAATCACCATGTATGTATATTGTAAGAATATTGTCTTGTAAACTAAGAACACCTTTGTGTGTTCAAGCTAGAGATTTTTGCCATACCAAATTTTGGTTGTTTGTTTCGGTTAACATTAGCATTTCCATTTAAGTTGGTTATAATCTCCCTCTGTTTTACAACAAGTGGTGTTAACTGTTAAAGCATCCATGTTTTATAACAATCTCATTGAGATACAAATCAATATATGTTCCACTTTTGCCCAAAAAGTTATATTGTTTTCCTATACTCCATTCTCCATTGTATGGGTCTCAACTTCAACTTTTCCTTGCCTCATATAAATGGGACACGATCACATCAACATTATTCCTAACACCATATAAAAGGGAAAATACTAGATCAAAATGCTAAATGGTTGAAACAAATGAGACCTTAAATTTTGTTTGTTCTGTTGCCTTCTACAAAGTGTAATCAGTAAGATGTTACCTCACCAACTATGTAGTCAAAAGCGATCCCCACCTTAATTTGCAAATTTTTCTATGAAGTCCTAAAATTTTATATCAACCTGGTGTGGTTTGGTTTGGTTTTTAAGCTGGAAATCATCCCGTTCAGTATCCAGATTTTGAAGTACATGGCTTTATAATTTTTAACTTTTTGGAGAGGATGACTGAAAAAAGAAGTGTTTAACCTCAAATTGTTCCCAGATTCCACAATATTCAAACACGATACTGAAAGAAGGGTGCTTATCGTCAGCCCAATTCTCAGATATTTTAAAGCTGCTAGGCATGATTATATATAACTTCCAGGTCACGAAATTTAACACAGATACATTAAATAAATTCATATATTTATAAAATGCATTGAATCTTCTATATCCCAACTCATACACATCAACAGGATAACTGTACGAAGTTACAGATGTATGTACAAAAGGACTCATACATTTTTTTAATCCCTGCAACTCTCAATACTCGAAAGGTTCGTAGAACATTCAGATTACACACATAGATCTGAACATATACGCAGTAAGATTCACTAAAATAACACATATGCATATAGATATATATAAGTAGATTAAGACGGATCTAAACATATATGTCTTTCATCCGTAAAATTACGATCAATCGTGGAAGAGATCTGAAATCAGAAATGAAGGAGAAGGCATGAAAATGCTAAGATCTGAGTACCTTTGAAGAAGACGAACCGGAGTTGCAATGGAGTCGGGTGGAGCGAGGTAGGTTATTCGCCTCTGGTTTGTGCCGATGTGATCCAGGTGAGGGGTTTCGTTCTCAGACAAGAAAATATGTTATGGTTCGGGTTACGCATCGGATCCGGGTTGTATACTATTGAATATTAAACGGTAAATCGCATCTTTAATTTGATTTATATTTCGGGTAACGTATTTTTAAAACTTTTATTCTGTTATCTAAGATGTAAAGTTTTAATCATTTAAATACCTGAGTTACCGGTTACCATGCTGATATAGCGAGTGATATGGTATCGAACTCGGTATTATTTATTGAAGCATTAACTGGATAACACATCACTCGTCATATCAGCATGATAACCAGTTAATGCTTCAACTAGTTACTCAAGTACCTAAATATTAAAAAATTTACATCTTATGTACCAAAATAAAAGTTTTAAAAATACGTTACTCAAAATAAAAATCAAGTTAAAGTACGTTATTTTTTCATGCAATTTATCCAATATTAAAAACAAAGAATATTCGAAACAAAGAAATTAATTTTCAAGAGCATCTCGAATGGGTTGTTTAAAATGGACAAAATAGGGATTTGAGTAAATTTTTGCTGCAACAGATGTTCCAAAACTTTTCCTAAAATGGAGAAAGTAGGAGAGGGGCAAAAATCTCCAAATTTGGAGAAATCACTAAAAATAATTACCATGAAAGCGAAATATTTTTTTATTATATTCCACAAGTAAGAAATCTTGAAATTAATAGTTTAGATGAGTAATAATATTTTATTGAATGTATGGAATATTTTAATAATATATTGAATGTTGTAATCTCTAAAATGTAAAAACTGTTGGAGTTGAATGCAATATTTTTTTTAGAGATTTTGAATTTTGATTCTACATTTTGAAGAAATTTAGAAAAATCGGTTAGAGTAAAAACATTGGAGCAAATACACGATATATCTAATTTAGCCATCTTTCTTCTTTTCTTTATTTGAACATATATTATGATATATAGTTGTTAAAGCAAAAATATCACATAAATATTTGAAAACTTGTATTTCAACATTATCATTGGAACTGCTCATATAAATTAATCCCATGTCGTTCAATCTTTTTATTTGGAACAAAAAATCGTAAATTATGTCTAGACTCTAGAGGTAAACCCAAATTCTTTTTGTAGTAATGGCAAAAGATAATTATTGTATTAAATAAAAAATGATTATAGTTATAAAATAAAGCATAAAAACCCAATCAAACTAGATTGAGTTGACTGATTCCTTGTGGGCAAATAAAAAATGATGAATGATGGTGGTTACTTTGTGTTCGTTCATTTACATTCATTTATGTTTGTTTAAGTTCATTCGTTTATGTTCGTTAGCATCCTAAGGATCGAAAATGAATGGATATGAACAAGCACATATTCTTAACAAACGAACATGAAAAAAAAATCTCCGTTTATTGTTCATGTTTGTTCTGTTAAGTTAAACGAACGAATATGAACAATGTGACACTTGTATTTTGATAATTATGTAGATTTTAGAAAGTTTGATGAGTTATTGTAGGATTTCGTTAGTATTTATGAGGCGCTGGTATTTCAATGTCAATATTAAGGTCTCGGTATGATTCAGTTGATTAACAAGTCTAGAAGAAACCAGGCAACTTCCTGTTCAACTTAAGCTGATAGAAAAGTCGCCCAAGCTATTGTGTTGGGTTGGATGGTGGCGTGGCACGAGAAAAACCAAACAGAGACCAAGGCCACCCACATGGCACCTAAACCCACGCAAGGAAGCCTGAGAAGTGTTAGGTGTGGTAGGAAAGGCGCAAAGGTTATGTGTGTATGTGTGCGGGTTTTGGGGTCGGATCCGTTTGATGAAAGGAAGGATCCCAAAGAATCGATCTTTCTTTTAGTTATGAAATCGAACACAATTTTGCAAAGAAATTGCCCATAATGAAATCTTGTTGGAATTGTCCATATCCGGTTCATCCTTCGGAACCATATCACATCTTGAATATGATAAAATAGGATGAATTGAGACGGTATTTTGTAAATATGTAATTATCTTGAAGCAAACTTTACAACGTTACAAAGAACTTCAAGATACTTTTGACTCAGTCGTGGGATCCAACATCTTTTCTAAAACTTTACAAATGTATTAGATGTGAAGCAACGTCTTTTCTAAAATCTGGCATTTTTGTGATGAAAACTCATTAATCAAAACACCTATTTAACATGAAACCAAACCCAATACTCACATAAAATGCAGATAAGGCTTAATATCCAAATACTGAAAATTGATAAAATTTCATTATCTAAAACACCAAAACATAGATAAGTTCCAAGATGCCAAAATCATAAATTATAAGTACACTTCATACCCCAAAACAACAGAAAACAACTTGAGTTCACTTTGTTAGGTTAGGTTAAAACCATATTCCAAACCCATACTTCTAACTTCCATTGATGAAGGTTTGAGATTCCCAATCAAAAATCTCCATGAATCTTTCCAAGATTACTACCCAAGTCTAGAAAGATACCAACAACAGCCAAAACATCATATCCACAACAAACTCTAGCTAGACCTCAAAATACCCAAAATCTTACCTCTTCAAGGACATGGAGATCCCAACGAACACTCTTAAACCGTAGGTTAGATCTCTTCTAACGGCTCCAAGAATGCTCCATCAATCTCCCAAAATCGGTCTTGAAGGAGATGGAATGAGGAGAGAAAGGAGAAAAATGAGATAAGAATGAGAAATGGGAAAACCCTACCAAAAATTGAGTTAAAACTGATATGGGCATGCGAGGCCACTTTTGGGGCAACTTAAGTCGTACCAAAAGGTCTGACGGCCCTTGCCAGGTCGGTCGGTCGACCATTCCTTGACCGTTGTTTCGTTCTTCAACCGTTTTCGACCGTTTTTCCGGTCGTCCTCCTTATCATTTTCCCGGTCGTTCTTCCGTTCTTTGGAAATTGCAGGTGTTACAAGTAATGGACCCACAAACATACATGTCAGTTTTATGTGGTATGGGTGATGATATTCCCTAGTTGTAACTTGTAAATTGAAAATGAAAAAGAATTGTTAATCATTTAAATAAAGAAACTATTGGACTTTCTAATTTTGAATGATTAAATCCATGAACATTTTTTTTTAATAAATAAATCATCAAACTTTTAAAAGTCGTTTACCTATATTCTTTTAACAAAAAAAAAACTACATATAACCGACTAGGAATGTTTTAAAATAAAACAAAAAACCTAGATCAATTTTACCTTTTCAAACCCGACACCCGTTCAAACTCCTCGCACCCAACAACATCGCTCCCCCTCGCCGCCTCATCATTGTCCATTCTCCATACCTTCAATTGTCATTGTTAGCCCTTGCCATCAATCTTTATCTTTTTTGGTCTGTTTTTATTTATTTTTCGGTGCACCATCTTTTCTAGCAATTTAATGTAGTACATATAGACAAATTAAAAAGGAGGGAAAATTGAAAAGCAAAAAAACCGATCAAAAAGAGGGAGATTAATGACAAGGGCCAACGACAGTAATGGTCTACGATAGAGAATGGACGATGATGGGGCTGCAAGGGAGAGTAATAACATTAGGTGCAAGGGGTTTGAATAACATAATATTTGAAAACGAAGAACCGATTTAATTTTTTATTTTTTTTTACTTTAAAACATATAACACCGGTTATATGTAACTTTTTAAAGTTAAAATAATATAAGTAGTTAACTATCAAATGTTTAATTGTTTATTTATAGAAAGAAAATGTTGAAAGATGAATCAAAATGAAAAAGTTAAAAAAGTGGAAAAATCTATGTGCCATTTGACTTACTACTTTGACCTTAAACCTCACCACGGCGAACACCGGAACACCGGTGATCCCCGTCCTGCCGGAGATTCGGAGCAGGTGAACCAGGTACTCAGTCTGTATAAATCATCATCCCTATAAAGAAGAGGAGAAGCTGAGATCAACCTCGCTTCTAGTCGTCTTCACCAATGGATCCCTATACTTCTCCTCATCAGCAGCCATGGCTCAATAAACCTGGGAGCTCGAGAACAACATCGTAACCATGGAAACTCCACAGTCCTCCGAATGCGTTGCTATCTTTTACTAGACGGGAAGGCTCAGTTCAAATTCCAGCAAGAAATGGTCCAATGATCCTCACTACTTCAAACACGTCAAAATTTTAGCTCAAGCCTTGTTGAAGATGGTGGTTCATTCTCGTTGCGGAAACATCGAGGTCATGGGGCTTTGCAAGGGAAACCGATGGCGATGCTATTATTGTTATGGACGCGTTTGCGTTGCCGGTCGAGGGGACGGAGATTAGGGTTAATTTATGAAGATATGACTGATTATTCCCAGACCAATAATAAGCAGGTTAAATTTGATTTCCACTTTGCTTTCATTGATGATTAATTGAAAAGCTTTTAGAATTCGCAAAACCCTAGACTGAAACTTGTAAGAGCTTAAAATCCTTGAGGGCATGTTAGGATTCAGCAATGCCATAACTTTTACTTAATTATTGTGTTTTATGTGATCAACTTCATTTCAGACCACGAATCATTATGAATGTGAAACTAACCTAGATGATAAGCATATGTTGACACTATGGTGTTGTAAATGCCATTGATAAATGTGCCTTGTGAACTTCTACCAAAAAAAGATAAAGACTTTGTGTTTGCACTTCTGTGGACTATTCTAGATTAAGAAATAAGAATTATAGAACAATCGATTGGTCTCTTCACATATGGTTCGTTCTTCTGTATTCTAGCTAAATTGGAATGTTGTGGCATAGACAGGAAGCCTGGAAAACATTGTTGGTTGGTACGATTCTCATCCTGGTTATGGATGCTGGTTATCTGTTTCTGATGCTTCTACACAAATGCTCAACCAGCAATTTCAGGAGCCTTTTCTGGCAGTCGAAATTGATCCGACAAGGACCCTTTCTGCTGGAAAAGTTGAGATTGGAGCATTCAGGACATACCCGGAAGGATATAAGCCACCAGACGAGCCTGTCTGAGACAATTCTTCTTACCTGTTAGATATTGGGGAATTGGAGATGATCCATGGACTGGATAGCACT